ACGGTGCTAAGCTCTTTAAATCTGTCATCTCAGTGTATCAGTTTTTACCCCAAAACTTAGTGACTTAATTCTGGAGATTGGTTGTACAACAGTGTGAATGTTTTTAACACTACTGAACTACACACTTAAAAATGGCAGAGATGGTACATTGTATGTTATGTATATTTGACCACAATTTAAAAAACAAACAGTAAATTCAAGAAACAACTGTTATTTAGTTCACAGTTCTCTGGGTGAGCTCAGGTTCTTCTGGTCTGGGCCAGCTTGGCGAATTTCTACTGGGCCTGTTCAGCTGCCTAGTGGTTGGATGATCTGGGGGTTAGCAGGCTGCAGCTGGAGTGTCAGGGAAGGACTGAGCCACAGGTGTCTCATCCTCCAGCAGGTTCCTCCTGGGACTCTGCACATGGAGACTGGAAGAGAGCAGACCCTGATTGTTCATGCACTTTTCAGCCCTCTGCTTTAATCACATTTGCTACTGTCCTGTTGGCCCAGAAAAGTCACAAGGGAAGTCCAGATTTAAGGAAGTAAAGAAAGACCCCTGCTCCTGATGGGAAGCGCCACAAACTTTTGTGGCCCTTTTTGTAACCACACTTAGTCAATCTTGACAACAACCCAAAAGAGAGAAGTACTATTAGTATTGCCATTTTACTATGGCATAAAGTAATGAAATAACTTTTCCAAGGTCACACAGCTTCTGGGTGGTGGTTCCAAGGTGCAAACGCAGGCCTGTCTGAAGACCTCTTTGCTTCCAGTCTGGAGGCTGCTCATATTAAAGAGCTCAGGCTTTGATTGGTCCCAGACAGCTGATCAAATCTTAGCTACTATACAGGAGACAGCTTGTACTCCCAGAACATCAAAGGCACTCTACAACACACCTAGTTTCTTTCTTCCCTTCCCATGGGGCGAGTCTGCCATATTAGCTTCATTCATTCGTTCATTCATTTAACAAATATTTGACCACCAATTGCATGCCAGACATTGTTCCAAGTGCAGGAGATACGAACAAGACAAGTGAAGACCTTGCTTTCATGAAACTTTCTAGTGGGAGAGAGAGACATTAAAAAGCAGATATATACAGTATTTCAGGTGGAGATAGTATGACAAAGAAAAATAATAGCAGGACAAGGGATCTAATTGTCAAGAGTCAGGGCAAGGTTAATTTATAGTGTTGTGATTTGAGTCCAAAGACATTCTTTCTTTATGTCTCTTTTCTCTTTATAAAATGAGACTGTTGGAGAAAATGGTAGTATTGGGTACCTCCTGGGAGGGGAAGTAGGTGGTCATGATAAGAGAGGACAGAAAGACCTCACAGTTTTACCCTTTTGTACATTTTGAGGTTTTTTTTAAAAAACTTCGGCTATTCTTTCTGGCTCTAAGATGTGATGAACAATACAATACAATATTATTTTTGTTAGTTGCAGTTTTTCTGAGCATTTCTTAACCCCCCTTGAGCTATTTTAAGAAAGCAGTAGAGTGTACCTCTAATTAGAGGAAACAAATAGGAAAATACATTTCCCTTTATTTATCATTATCTTAGTTTCTTAAGTAGTAAAAAAGTTGAGAAAAAAAAATTATACTTAGCAGATATTGAGGGCTAATTATTTCTATCACAGCAGGATTTGGCTATAAAAATTCAGGGTTCGGGGCCGGCCCGGTGGTGCACTGCTACAGTGCGCCGCTTGGGAGCGCAGCGGTGCTCCCGCCAAGGGTTCGGATCCCACATACAGACCAGCCGCTCACTGGCTGAGCGAGGTGTGGGCGCAACACTGAGGGTTGCGATCCCGTTACCATCCCGGTCCGGTACGGGCGCGACACTGAGGGTTGCGATCCTTGACAATTAGATCCCTTGTCCTGCTACGATCCCGTTACCATCCCGGTCCGGTACGGGCGCGACACTGAGGGTTGCGATCCTTGACAATTAGATCCCTTGTCCTGCTACGATCCCGTTACCATCCCGGTCCGGTACGGGCGCGACACTGAGGGTTGCGATCCATTGCCGGTCACAAAAAAAAAAAATTCAGGGTTCAGTAAACTTGATTTATACTGAGTTTTTAGGAGCATATCTGTAAATCTCTGGGCATACTGCCACCTGATGCTGTATAACACCACCCAGAGGCCATGGGATGGAAAAAGCAGGCCTTTTGTAATCAGGCAGATCTGGCTTCTATCAAGTCTAAATCCTATTATTTAAGCTAATATCTTCTCTTAAGTCTATTAAGTCTAATTCCTGACTCTATGGGTAACTTAACCTTTGAGCCACAGTTTCTTCGTCTGTAAAGTAGAGATACAGGGTTGCAATTCCCTAACCACAATTTCCCAACTCCCAGATGGTCTGAAAATGAATAGTTTTTTCATAAGTTTGGCTCAAAATCATTTGGTGGCAAAAACTTGAATCAAAGTTGAGGCTTCATTTGTCCCACTGAGTATAAATATTCAAATATTTTGCTGAAGAAGTATTAATAATTGATTATGGGATGCCACTCCACACTGAGTGGGGCTATATATGCATTTTACTACGTGCTTTCTAAAACACTCAGAATTCTGAATACTGCTATACTTCTGGCATAAAGTTTTCAGGTGGATTATGGGCCTGTACTACCTTCCTTAAAGGGTTTAGTAAGGATTAAAGGTCATGTATGTATTGTGCTCGGCATGTAGTAGCTGTGTAATGAAAGTAGTTATTAATCTTGTTGTTACGTAAATTCAGTTCTCAAGTTTGTTGGTTCTTTGTTTTTTTCCCCTTCTGAGGAAAGCTGTATTATTCAAAGTCAGGAAAGCTGTGGGGAGGGCTGGTAACTATTCACATGTGGAACTGTCTTTCAGAACTGTCTTTCAGAGTGGAGCCCCAGTCGTGGGAATTCAGTCTTGTACTTTTAGCCACTCTGCTCTCTTCCTCTAAATGCCCTTCATCCCTGTTTTCTCTCATTTGAAAATTCTTGGGAGTGTACTTAATCTAAGATAGTAGTAGAAAACATCAGGAGGCTCTAGGGACAGGCCACAGTAGCCTGTCCCCCCCCCCCCCCCCCCCCCCCCCCCCCCCCCCCCCCCCCCCCCCCCCCCCCCCCCCCCCCCCCCCCCCCCCCCCCCCCCCCCCCCCCCCCCCCCCCCCCCCCCCCCCCCCCCCCCCCCCCCCCCCCCCCCCCCCCCCCCCCCCCCCCCCCCCCCCCCCCCCCCCCCCCCCCCCCCCCCCCCCCCCCCCCTTCCATAGTGTGCTTAATAGTTGTGTCTTCCTGTACTATTCTTGGTAATTTCAGGGAACTCTTGTTACAAGACAAGGTACAGTTTCAGCTGTTCAAATCCAGTGCGACTATACCTTTATTGAAACTCTTGGTTAGACATCAGCTCCAAAACCATCAGTTAGAGCTGAGATGAAAACATCTGGTAGTACAGTGAGAGGAATCGCCATGGCCTGGTAACAATCTGGTCATGTGAAGAGCTGGTCTGGAGCTCAGTAAAGGGCCATTATTCTGTTTCTTTTCTTTTATGATGAAATCTTGCCTGTCCACATTTTGAGAGGGAAGGAGTTGGTGAACTGTTTTAAAATACTATATTCATTTATTCATCAAGCCTTTATATGTTTATATGAGCTAGATACTTTACAAATATATGGTACCCAGTAAATATTGGTTTCTACTGACCATTTTTACTGGAATTGACAATGAAATGAAATTTTCAGGATTATGTGATTTTTTTTTAAAGCTTTACTCTTTTGACAAAATAATTTGCATCCGTGGTAGGAAATTTAGGAAATAAACACAAATAAAAAGAACATAGTTCACCTGGACCCCACCAGGGTCCAGGGTTCACTGTTAACCTTCCTGAAGTAACTTTATCGGATTTCCTGTCAGTGGATATATCATATATATTTTTAACCACTCTCCTGTTAAACCTTTCAGATGTTTCCCTTGTCTCTCATAAAGAGTATGTGGGAAGACAGTGGGGGGGCATTATGAGAACTCTGTACCCTCTGCTCATTTTCCTGCGAACCTAAAACTCATCTAAAAATAAAGTCTATGTAAAAATACACACACACACACACACACACACACACACACACACACACACACAGCAGTTCTTTTTGATATGGTTCCATTCAAAATAAGGCTAATATCCTGCCCTGGAAAAACACAGTCCTTACTTGTTTTCCTTAGGGAAGAGTGAAGTCCAGGGAACAGCTCAGTACACTTCACTATTTTCAAAGGGAAAGACAAGAAGAAATCTTAAAAGGAATAGCTAGCTTTCCAGAGGATGACAGAGGATTAACAGGTACTAAAGAAAATCTATAGTTGGACAGTAGTAAATCGGTAAAAACAGATTTTATTCAGAAAAACTACTAAAATGGGGGAAGAGACCTCAGTATAAAACTGGGCTCAATTACGAATACAAGGAAAAGGGGAATTTACAGCGGGGTGGGGGCGTCGGTGGATGGAAAATTATTAAGAGGAAGCTTCACGAGTGAGAAACCAAACTGACCCAACAGGATTCTTGCTGAAGACAGGACAGAGACCAGACATCACCTGGGATAGTGAGGGGTGAGGAACCCGACCAGATATGGAGGGTGGATCAGATATTCTGGCTAAACTGATCTAGCAGGATTCTTGCTAGAAGTGGGTGATGCAAAGACAGTTAAGTACCAAAGTGCCGGCCTAGTTGGGAAGAGGCTTCAGCGAGCCTTAGTAAAGTTTGGTCTAGTTTGGAAGAGCAAGCTTCTCAAAAGTAGACCCGGTTCCATTAACATCCTGTGGGTTCGGGTGAGAAGCACAAGACTGAGAGGGCTTCTGACGGCGCAGGGGCTCGCCAACGAGCCGGGGGCGGGGCGAGGCCGACTAGGAGAGCCGCGGCCTCAGCGTGTAGGGTGCGCGGGGTGGGCACCGCCCTTTCCGGGCTCGGCCCCAGTGCATCCTCCGTGGGAGGGAGAGCCCGTCCCGCCCCCTAGCGGGCGCCTCCCAACTCCACTCGGGCCTATGGAGGAAAAACTCTCCGCGGGATCCGTGACACCCATGGCCGCGGCCGCCTGCGGCGCCAAGGCCGTGTTGCTTTTTAAGCGCACGTGGGTGCTGAGCCCCGCCGCGGCGCCCCGGAGCCCGGGCACAGGCGCCCCTACGCGGGGCTGGCCCTGCAGGGACTGGCCTCGGGGAGAGGGCGTCTGCAGCAGGCTGCGGAGCCCGGCGGCCGGCAGTCGCTGGCCGCAGCCCCACTCGTGCTGCCCCGCGTCCCCTACCGCCGTGTGTCTTCTCTGCCCGCAGGACTCGCTCAGCAGTAACCTGAAGACGTGCTACAAGTACCTGAATCAGACCAGCCGCAGCTTCGCAGCTGTCATTGAGGCGCTAGATGGGGAAATCCGGTGAGTGGCGGCAGCGGCAGCGTCTCTCGCTGGGGGAGGAACGCCCTCCAGGGTCTGTGGGCCGCTGCGACCTGCGCTCCGACACCGCGCCTAGCGGGCGGGCGCGCCGCCTCCTTGCCGGTGGTGGCTTACCCAGACGCATTCCCGCCCAAGTGCAGGGAAGTTCGCCGTGGAAACGTTCGCGCTTTCGCTTTAGAATGCCCGTCCAGCAGCTCGCCATCGCGTAGTGTCCCTGCAGGCCCAGCTTTATCGGAGAAGCAGTGGGGGATGGTGGTGTTTACTAACTTTTTTTAGTCTTGGCAGCTGAATCTATTTCTGAGCAGGTCCTGCGTTTTTCTTGGCTTCCCTTACTCTACTTTGCATTTCTAGCAGATGATGATTCAATTCTTTTGAAGCTGCCTCTGTGCAAATTGCACGCATAAACTTGCACCCATTGTGTTTATGTATGATAGCATGATAATGGGAAGTTACTGGGTATCTTTGGACTTTCTTTTCCATTTGCAAAATTTAGTTCGGTCTAAATATTTGGTCTTCTGGTTTCTATGTAGTTGTTTCACGTTAGTTAACTCATTCTGGGTGTAGTAGTGACACACAGCTGGTAGGTTTTCTTATTTTGTTTTTTATAAACTATAAAAGCCCATTACTCCCATCCAAGAAAGGAAAGCTAATGTAAATTTTGTTACCTATAAAAAGCCTTGGATATCCTTTCTTAGTTCTGTAGAATTAAGTGTGCAGGCGGGTTTAGAAAATGGCCAAGCATAAATTAGATGTGATTTAAAAATAAGTTTCTCAGATGTTTGTTCCTATATATGAATGGTTTTTCCTTTTACAGCCATGCAGTGTGCATATTTTATCTGGTTCTCCGAGCTCTGGACACTCTGGAAGATGACATGACCATCAGTGTAGAAAGAAAGGTCCCACTGTTACACAACTTTCATACTTACCTTTACGAACCAGACTGGCGGTTCATGGAGAGCAAGGAGAAGGATCGACAAGTGCTAGAGGACTTCCCAACGGTAGTAGAATTACAGATCTCTTCTGCATACACTTGTGTTTATAACTGGTAATATCGTTGTCAGCTAGCCTGCGTACCTTTAGAGAAAGGTAAAATAAGCAGTCTGAGGGCAGCATAATGTGATGGTTAAAAACTGGTAGCTAAGACTCTAAAGCCGCCTGGGTTGGAATCCCAACTCTCCCACTTATTGACTGATGGTTAATTATGTAGCCTCTCTGTGCCTCAGTTTCTTCATCTATAAAATAGGGATGATAATAGTACCTATGTCACAGTACTGTTATGAGAATTAAAAGAGTTAATATACATAAAGCTCTTAGAAGATTGTTAGCTACTATTAATATTGCCATGTTGTTTGGAAGTCCAGTGTTTCTGTGGAAAGATGCATTCATATTTCAGTGTCGAGAAAGATAGATTCTCAGGCTAGCTCACAAAAACCTATTGACTATATAATGCAGCCTAACTGTATAACACTACTGGCTTTTTGAGTACCCTGAGCCTGGTAGCATGGGATTGCTGCTCAAGATTGATAGTAATTGTGGGATATGGAGTGGGCTCTTCTAGCAGCTGAGGTGAGGATCAAGAAGCAGGGTGTGATCCTCTACCACTTACACCATGTGTGATCCTGGGCCTCAGTTTCCTCATTTGTAAAGTTAGAGCTGTGAGGACTGAATAATTTCATACATATAAGTACTCAGAATAATGTCTGGTAGTACTAATATTGTGTAAATATTAAGTGTTTGGTCCATTCTGTTGAAGTAAAGTGGGTTATAATTAACACCTTGAGCTGCAGAGAGTCCCTCAAGTTTATGTCATACATGTGACTAGGTCCCACTTTTCTTGAATTTGCATGTCTTATTACACAAGTGATTCTTCCATATCTTGTAAATAAAGGATTGATTTAGCAATCACATGTTCCCTAATAGCCCAAAGAAGCCCCCCTTTTTTTTCGTATATGGTTGTGAAAGTTTTGGGGAAGAACAGTCCTTATGTGTCTTTTGCTATTGAAACAAGTCTAATCTATATATTCGAGTAGGGTGGAGGGAACCTGAGTGGACAAAAGAAGAGTCCACCCATTACAAAAGAATGTTTGAGAAAGAGTCCTTCTGAGCAAGGGCTATTTCAAATTGCTGAGATCATGTCTTCAGCTCCAGAGTCCAAAATATAATACAGTACAATACAGATCAAAGGACAATGTCTGTGAAGAATAATTAGGTTGAAGCTGATACAATTCAAAAGAAGAAAGAATCTGTGAAGAGTGATTAGGTGAGGAATTGGAGCTCTACCCTAGGGAAGGTGATCTGGCCTCACAGGACACCTGATGACTAGAGGAGGGTTTCCTCTGACTGCAAGTCTGCAGCCATTCATTGATGAGCCTTTGACCTCTGCTAAAGCAGATGGAAGTGCTGTATACAATGGTCATATCCCATTTATAATTGATGCAGATTTTTGCTTTAAAAAAGTTAACTCTTCTAGCTAGACTTAGCCTCTGGAAACAAAAAAAAGCCTTTCCAAACTACTTTTGACTTGAGTAGATTCATAACAAATAACTTCTGGTCATGGAATAAATGTCTTAGGTATCTTAAAAATCAAGGCCCCCTATCCACTCAGCAAAAATGAGAGAATATGAGAATGTGTGAGTGCTAAAATAATTTGGGAGAATATAGCTAGCAGATTTTCAGACAATATTCCAATAAATTTGTAAAACCTAAGTTTTACAAACGTACAGCATTACAGTGGAAACGTAATGCTTTGTTTTGGAAGGTTTCAAATTTGAACATTAAATTCATCTTTTACTGTTTTGGATAGTGGTAGAATGCAGAAATAACACTGTCCTCCTGAAAGTGGAGGATTACCCCTGGTAGAATAAAGGGAGGAGAAAGTCAAGCCAGGCATCACTAATCTTGCTATCGTACACCTTTTATACCTTCGAGAACATGAAGACAAGTTGTGTGTTTTGTTGGCATGTATAATTCTGAGATACTGGTTTTTTTTTGGCAGCTAGCCAGTTAGGGGATCCAAACCCTTGACCTTGGTGATATCAACTCCACACTCTAACCAACTGGACTAACCAGCCAGCCCCTATTTTAAGAAACTTGAATTGGAGGTCCTTTTAGTCTGTGATTCAGCTTGAGATAGAAATACAGGAATTAATAGTGCCTTGTCTTAAGGAATGATTCGTGTATGTGCTCATCTAGCCCAGCATCTTCTTGAAGCCAGGTACACGATTTGAAGGGTCAGCCCGTGGCCCAGGGTTGGGTGTGCAATCAGCTTTCGCAGAGCTTGTTGTCATGCCCAGAGAATATATGAAACAGAGTTTGGAGAGAGGTGGCAAAGCTCTCTCCCTTTCTTGGATTTCTAGGAAGAACACAGAACTCCTCATTGTCACTTCTTCCTGGGTACTTTTGTTTTCATTTTTTGAATTACATAATTATGTAGTAAGTACCAAAAAGTTGAAAGGGATAGGTCAAATTCAGAAGTGAAAGTATTTTGGTGTTTGTTTTTCGAGTCTAAGCTCCTCCTCCTCCCCACCCTCCTTGGCTTTTCCCCTCCTAAAAATAGAAGAGGAATAAGAAGACTTTCTAAATAGGTCTAGCCAAGGATTTGTTGAAGAAACAGCCCTAGGGAGACTCAGAGATTCAAATAACCTCTGATCCAGTCGCTAGTTTGTTTCAGTCCACAATGTGAGTTACCTTTTGGCTTTCCCATAGAAACAGCTTTTCTGGAAAGAACAGAGTTCTGAAAAAACCAAATTGACTTTATGGGTTTTTTGGGTTTAGTAGCTGATGGTCATCAGAGAAATTCTACATTGTCTCAGGCTTCTGAATTCCTGTGGTGCTCTGCAACCAGCTGGTTTTCCCTCAGGTGCTTAATTTTAGGTGTTTCCTGAGGAAGTTTTTTTACCTTTCTGCAAACACAGATCAGGTATATCTCATACTTTTAATCTTTGTGACAAAGTTTGTTCACTGTTTTCAGTATTGTGTGTTGCCTTTATTAATGTTTTGTAACATTTTATTTAAGAAGCTCCATGATCTTTTTATATTTTATTTTGATAACCTGTAAACACTTTGAATTTAAACAAGATTATTTGTTCAGTAGCAATTAAAAAATATCAATACTACCTATCTACATTAGAGTTTGGGCTATGAAAAAAAATTGGGCAGCCTGCATCATATTTAGTTGAGAAATTAAAAAGTTGAGAAATTAAAAATGTAACCTTATAGTGAGGGAGATTCTGTAGATTCATGATGTAAATTGGGGAACCGATGTTAGAAAATGGTTTGCCAGTCTCCTCACTAGGATGTAAGCTCTGCAACGGCAGGAGTTTCTGTTTGTTTCCCTGGTGTACATCTCCAGTGCCTAGGACAATACTTGCAACATAGGAAGTGCTCAATACCTGTCTGCACAAATGAATCCACCATAATGAAGTTTGTCTGAAACAAGGCATTCTCCCTGAAATTCTTACACTTATTCCCAGTTTTATGTTGAAGCATCTCATTATTGTATATTGGAAAGATGAATGTATATAGTGAGACTTTGAGTCTTCTTTTGAGCCTAGGAACATTAGCATTTTTAGATCCTTCTATTTTAATATTTGTAAAATTTGCTTAGCTTATTATCCAATATGTAGAAAACTAGCATAACCTAGATTAGACTTATAGGTGAATCATTTGGAAGTCATAAGTAATGAATTCTGCAATTGCTTTGCTTTGTGGTCTTTGGTACCATGTAAAGTATGTTTCATGTTTTCTATTTTTTACGGTCTTCATTTCAGATCTCCCTCGAGTTTAGAAATCTGGCTGAGAAATATCAAACAGTGATTGCTGACATTTGCCGGAAAATGGGAATTGGGATGGCAGAGTTTTTGAATAAGCATGTGACCTCAGAACGTGAGTGGGACAAGGTTAGTGTCTCTGTAAAACTGTGTCTATGTGTGGTGCATAAGACAGTCAGCAGCCCTCATTGTGAAGTTCTGAACAAGGAAAATTGTCTGCCAGTTCCAGGTTTTCTGGTTTTACAACTTATCTGTTTAGGTTGAATGTCTCATTGTAAACATTTAGCAGGGGCTTAAAGTTTAATACTTTATCAATGAAATTATTCATGCCCTAGAGAGCTTACCATAAATGAAACCAAAGTAGATATAACTCGTCTCAAAGATACAGACATTAAGCTTATAAAACTGTCTCTGACTTGCTGTAAAATTTTAGTTAAATGGCCAAATTATTTCATGTAATAGAGAAATATCAGTAGTTCTCAAACTTTAAAAATAATGTTTTTTGTTATTTTCTTCTTTTCTATTACTGACTGTATATGTACCTTAGTTTCTGAGTCATTTCCAATTCCATCTTTACATAAGATTACATGTAAACTCAGTGCTAACCTAGTCCCCTTTGTTTGTGAGACATAGGTATCAGTTAAATTGTTGTTATATTATGTGTCTGTTTCCTTAGAAGCAAAGAACAGCTCATGAGAATCCAAAGGTATTAACTTTGGATTGTAGATGTGTTATGCTGAGAGGTGAGCACCTCTCTCATTCCTTATTTATTCCTTCTCATTATCTCCTTATATAAATAAGACACATTGAGATCCTTCCAAGTTTCTTCATGCCTTCGCTTGTTTTGTGTGATAGTTACTGTCTCAATCCGTTTTAAGTTGCTCTAACAGAATACCAGATACTGCATTATTTATAAAGAAAAGAAATTTATTTCTCACAATTCTGGAGGCTGGGAAGGCCTATATCCAGGTTCCAGCATCTGGTGAGGGCCTTCTTGCTATGTCATCCTGTGGCAGAAGGTGGAAGGGCAAAGAGGGCAAGAGAGAGCAAGAGGTGGAACTCACCTCAAACTCTGTTATAATCAGCATTAATCTATCCATGAAGGCAGAGCCTTCACCATCTGATCGTTTCTCAGAGGTCCGGCCTCTTAACACTGTTGCATTAGGGATTGAGTTTTGCGGGACACATTCAAACCAAAGCAGTAATAGATGAACACATGTGGGGATGAGCTGTAGACCCCACATTGATGAGGGAGGCACATTCTCCTCAGGAGGCAGATACTGGAAAGGGTGCTGAGAGCGGGTGATACAGCAAATAAAATTACAGGGGCTCCTATCTGGCCAGAATTTATTCCTGACCAGCAGTTCTGTAGGCTAGGAGCTGTGGTGGGGGGAGAGTGCTTGTCTAGACAAAGGGACATAATTGGCTGTGGAGACTAAACAAACAAAAATACAAGGGAGGGGTAGGGGTCTTGTCCGTTTTTGGTAGGAATGGCATTTGTGGGACTTACTCAGCACCCCTGTGGAAACAAAGATTTTTTAAACATCTAGTGTTTACATATTTTGTATCTTTAATAGTGCATAGGTTAGGATCTCAAAAGAGACACTGCTATATATTCATTGAGTCAGTGCAGGTCCAAGGTCTGTAATTTTTTAAGTCTCAAAACTTGACGTTTAGTTACATCTTTGGAACTACTGGGTTATGCTGCCCAAGTTAACAAGTATATGATTGTTGCTAGAATACCAGCTTCTGAATTTAATGTTAAAACTCCTGCTGGCCAAGGACCAGCACTGCGCAGATCTATTCAGGAAACTTAGTTATAGGTTGTTGAGCAGAAGTTCTGATCAGGTAAAATTGTATATTTTAAGGATTTTTTTCCTTCAACTTTACAGGAAGATAAATTATATAGGTCTCTATGTAGTTTTTATGTGTGTATATATATATATACACACACACACACACACATATAAAATATATACACATATGTAAATAGTATTTCTACACAAAGAACTATTATCTTAAAATATATTTTTAATAGCACTATAAATGTACTGTTTTTAATTTCTAGTAAGTCTTTTTAGATTTAATGTAGCTGTCCATAGCTAATTTCTTTCTACCTCATTTCAGCAAGTCTTTACTCTTTCTAGATTCTTCCTCTCCTAGAACATATTTTAAGTGTTCTTGAATATGTTCTAAGAACATATTTTGTATTTCCCTTTGCCATTTCCTTGTGCCCATTAATTAGTCTCTGGCCTTGTATTACTTTATCTTTTTTTAAATTTTATTTTTTCAATCTTATTTAGTATCTATTTTTGTGGGGTGCAATGTACTGTTTCGGTATGTGCACATACTGCACAATGATCCCTTGTGTCACTTTTAGTCAGAGGCAACTCTTTACTCTTTGGTCTTTGCCTAACTTCCCCTCCTATGGCCACTCCAGAGTGTGTGCCTTCTCTAACTACTCTTCACTTTTTGAATTGTCTAATAGACATTCATTTCATAAAAGTATTGCATTAAGTTGTGTTGGGGGAATACCTTTTTCAGGGAAGGATAGCTTTTGACAGACTGCTTTCATAGAAAGAAAAGTTTGTGGCAATTAAGAGTTAAATTTACTAAAACCTATGTTGAGAGAGAGGAAGTTTTGGCAAAGTTGTTGAAGCCTGACTTTTAAGCCAGACTAGCTGGTTTTGAATCCCTGGCTCCTGGCTTCTCAGTTGAGTGATATTGGCCAAGTTAATTGACCTCTCTATGTCTCAGTTTCCTCAGCTGTGAAATGGAGGTAACAATAGTATAAGTTGTTTGTGAGGATTGAATATGCATATTGCTTAAAACAGTCTCGAGGACATACTGGTAGTACTTTGTTCTTCATAATGAATGATTTTGAGGCCATGCAAGAGCTTGACATGTCTTCTGATTGGTCAAAGAAAGATTAAACTATACTGAGTATTCTTAGTTTCTGTTAATCACAATATCTCATCTTCTATCATTGCCTTCACTCCTACTTTAGGTATCAAGAAGGATACTGTACTAGTTTAATTTTTCAATAACCTTTTATTATAGAAATAGTGCATGTGCATTGTAGAAATTTAGAAAATACAGTACAAGTGAAAAATAAAAACCACACATTCTCATTCCCACCAGCCAGAGATCACTGTTGTTAAATCTTTTGCCTATGTCTTTCTTAGATGTTTTTTAATCCTTACATGTACATGTATGTATATTTGTGTTTTTTAATCAAAATGAGATCTTGTACATTCTGTTTGGAACCTGATTTTTTGTAGTTAATGATCTGCAGCATTTCTATTTTAGCAAAAATTTCATTATTGAAGTACTTTAAAAATAATCTTTTACAGTACTGTTACTATGTTGCTGGACTGGTAGGAATTGGCCTTTCCCGTCTGTTCTCGGCCTCAGAGTTTGAAGAACCCTTAGTTGGTGAAGATGTAGAGCGTGCCAACTCTATGGGCCTGTTTCTGCAGAAAACAAACATCATTCGTGATTATCTGGAAGACCAACGAGAAGGAAGAGAATTTTGGCCTCAAGAGGTAACAGATTTAGGGTATTTGGGGAAAAATAATTTTAGACACGCTGAAAACAAATCATTAAACCTTGTAGTTGCAAGTCAGACTACCGTAGGTAACATAAGGGAATGTGTAAAATAAAACAGGTGAGATTTAGTTTGCTGCATGTAGACTGACTGAATGTAGGCCTTCAGACTATGTAATCAGGCTTTTTGTTTCCTTTTTTCTGTAAGACAGTCTTTCTCCAAATGGCAGGTATGATGACAGCCCACATGCACCAGCTTAACATAGAGATCCTGAGGAAGGGCTTGGTTCTTGTTCTCATCCCTGAATCAATTCCTCTAGTCAGCGGGCTGAGTACCCCAATTGGCCAGACCTGGAGTATGTCTGCCCAACATACATAGAATGGATCCCCCCAAGATAGAATTCTATGGTAAGAAGGAGAAAAGGGACTCTAGATAGAGAAAAACTGCAGATGTCCACTCTAAGAGACGAGAGTTGATCTTTGACTTAATTGGAACATGGACAGGGAAAGGGAATGGTTTTGATATTGATTTTGTTCAAAAGGAAATCTAGAATATTTTATGACTATTTCCTGAGTTTATTCCAGCATTTACCTTTTGCTTCCCATAAGATGGTTCCCTAAAACTGTGTGCTTTTAAATTAAAAAAAGATAGGTGACAAAGTCAGAAAAAATATTTGTAACTTATACTGCAGGTAAAGGGTTTGTATTCCTAATATAAAGAGAATTTCAAAAAGTTAAAAGAACCAACCGCTGTATAGAAAAATGAGCAAAGAGATAAGAACAGACTGTTTACAGAAAGATATGCAAATGGTCCTCAAACATCTGAAAAGATGCTCCGCCTTGCTCCTATAAGAAAAGTTCATGTTAAAAAAAATTTATCCTGAGCTCAAACATAGCTTTTAAGCTCCCCAGGTGATTCATGTGCAGCGAGGGTTGAGAAACAGCTCTTGTCTGCCCCTTGTTTGGTGACACCACAGCTCAGAGGAGGAGGGGCTTGTCTGAGGACACCCAGTGAGCCAGCGGCCACCATGGAAGTAGAATCTTGGTCTCCTGGCTCTGAGAGCAGCACCTGTCCACCCCACCATGGTGTCTCACAGACGAGAACATCAGCCACATGTGTGTGATTCATGAGCACAAGTTCCGTGGTCCTGGTCCTGCACACATGGGTGCAGATGCTGTTCTCTGTTTCACGTCCTTCGGCCATAAAATAGAGTAGTATACCACAGGGTGGTGATAGAAATACAATGAGATAACCTTCTAGCACAGTTTTTAGCAAATGTCAGTCCAAACATTTTTTTTTTTAAAAGTACCCTGAGATACCATTTCTTGCATCAAATTGGGAAAAGCTGGTAAATTTGATAAGACATTTTAAGCAGGACTGTGGGGAAACAGGCACTTGTATGTTGCTGGTGATGAGTGTACATTTGTTACAACCCTTATGGAGAGCAATTTGGCAAATGATGAATGTATGAGGTTATTTATTGCAGCATTGTAATAGTGAAAATTTCTAAACAACTCAAATGTGCATTCATAGGAGACTGATTAAATGAACTATTGTATATCCATACAGTGGAGTACAAAAAGAACTGTATACCACTATAGAGTGATTTCCAGGTTATATTATTAAGTAAAAAAAGCACAGTGCAGAACACTGTGTGTAATGCACTACCATTTAAATGGAAACCAAAAATTGATAAAATGATTTCATTTGATAATCATGTTGTGAGTAATATTGGTATTGAAATACTGAAACTATTATATAAACTTTGAAGCATAAAGCTAACAGTTAATTTGTGTTCATATCATAAGTATGATACTGTGGTTTATAATAAGAAATATATATTTGGTCTGTTCATTTTTTGGCACGCAGCTCTTAAAACCTTTGGAATCATTGAAGTAGCATGTGTCTTTTTGTATGCTAATGAGATGGCTGCTAGTTGGGGGCTCCTGGACCGCCTCTGGATGGGGCTGGTTGCCAGGGGATCCTGATTAGGTGGTTGGAAATTTCAGTCCCCACCCCAGACCTCCAGGGAGGGGACAGAAGTTGAAGGTTGAGTTGATCACCAGTGGGCAATGATTTAGTCAATCATGCTTATGTAATGAAGTGTCCATTAAAAATCCAGAAGGACAGGGTTTGGCCAGCTTTTGGACAGCTGAACATGTGGAGGTGCCTGGAGGGTGGCACACCTGGAGAAGGCACGGAAACTTCATTCCCCTTCCCACATAACTCACCCTATGCATCTCTTCCATCTGGCTGTACATCAGTATCCTTTACAATATCCTTTATAAAACATTAAATGTAAGTAAAGTGTTTCCCTGTGAGAGATCTGTGAACTGTTTTAGCAAATTAATCAAACCTGAGTGAGGGGGTTGTGATAACCCAATTTGTAGCCAGTAGATCAGAAGTATAGGTGACAGATAACCTGCTACTTGCAATTGGTGTCTGAAGTGGGGGACAGTCTTATCTACCTATCTACCTGTCTTATCTACCTATCTCCAGGTAGACAGTGGCAGAATTGAATTGAATTATAGAATACTCGGTGTCTGCTGGAGAATTGCTTGGTGTGTGGGGAAGCACCTACACATATTTTGGTGCTTTTCCTATCTCTTAAAATTAGGAATCAAAATTTTCAGTGAAAAATAAGAGATACAAATATAAAACAATGAAGTTAGGCAAAAACTCCCCATTATCCTAAACTGATTTGGAAATATCAGTATGAACTTGTGATATAGTTTCTCTTAAACAAACTCACTTCCTGGGTCTAGCTACCAGAAGGTGTAGAAACAATGACTAGACAAGTAGTAATGAGCAACTCTAGTGTCCAGATTAGGGTCTTTTAATACCATTTCCCACTAAAAGGAACCTGAGCATTTTTAGAGGAATTTTAGAGGACAGGAGATATACAAGATGAGCTTGGAATATATTGTGGTTTCAGAGACTAAAGGAATTATCAAAGACTGGGGCCATGCCAAAAAGGTACAAAAAGGTATAGGAGCCAACTTGAAGGTGCTTTTGCTGGCCAAATATGGAACAGTTTATGCATCAAAAAGAATGAAAACTACAGTGGATAGAAGTATATCAAGTATATTTAACTTCAAGTCGTGATTGAGCAAAAACCAGACATGTACCTCTGGATGAAAGAAGAGGTGGTGTGTTCTTTTATCAAGAGGCACACAGACGTGATTTTTGCTTACTTTTGATGTTACCAGTCGTTATGCTTCATGCTAGTTCTATGAATTTATTGGCATCGTACAAGAGTAGTTATTTTTAAATAGCACCTTTATCAAATATAGTTTACATACCGAATAGTTCACCCTTTTGAAGTGTACAATTCAATGGTTTTTAGTATATTCAGGGAATTGTGCAAACCTCACCACAGTCAATTTTGGAACATTTTTATTACCTCAAAAAAAAACCCATACCCATTAGTAATCACTACCCATTTTCCCCAAAAGCTCCTCCCCTGCCCTAGGCAACCAATAATCTACTTTTTGTCTCTATAGATTTGCATGATCTGGACATTTTGTAACATTGGAATCATAAAATACTGTATGTGGTCTTTGGTGATTGGCTATTTTCACAGCATAATGTTTTCAGTGCTCATCCATGGTGTAGCGTGTATCAGTACTTCATTCCTTTTTGTTGCCCAACAGTATTCCATTGCGTGGACATACCACATTTTATTTATTCATTCATTAGTTGAGGGGTATTTGGGTTCTTTCTACTTTTTGGCTATTATGAATAATGTTATGAACATTTGTATACAAAGTTTTGTGTGGACATGATTTTCATTTGTCTTGGGTATATACCTAGAAGTGGAACTGCTGGTTCAAACAGCAACTCTAACTCTTTGAGGAAGTGCCAGACTGTTTTCCAAAGTGGCTGCACCATTTTACATTCCCATCAGCAGTGTGTGGTAGCTCCAGTTTCTCCACTTCTTGCCAATACTTATTATCTGTCTTTTTTCTTTAACTGTATATATATATACACACACACACTTAATATTTGCAAATATTTTCTCCTATTCCCTTTGAAGCACAAGAGTTTATAATTTTGATTATAGTTTATCTATTTTTTCTAATAGTTTATTTTCTAATAGTTTATCTGTTTTTTTCTTTTGTTACTTGTGGTATCACGTGTAAGAAACTGTTGCCTGTTCTAAGGTCATGAAGATTTATGACTGTGTTCTAAGAGTTTTGTAGGTTAAACGCTTTCATCACTTTTAATTTAATTTTTATATAGGATGTGAGCTATTTTTTTGTATGTATGTCCAGTTGTCCCAACACCATTTGTTGAAAAGACTGTTCTTTCCCATTGAATTATCTTGGCATGCTTGTTGAAAATCAACTGATTGTAAGTGTGAGAATTTATTTCAGGACTTTTAATTCTATTCCATAAAATAATAATATTTTAATTCTATAATTTTGTTTTCATTTATTAGCTAGATTGATTTTCTAAGAAAGAGAAAGTACTTTTTCTCATCTACCATTTGGTCATTGAGTGGCACAGTTCATGTAGGGAAGGCATTATAGATGCTTGATTCTTTCCTTTTATTTTCCCAACTTATAAGGTAATGAATTGGTTTTCTGTTATCCTCAGAATGATATTTTTTGTTATCATTATAAACTCAGGGATTAAAATACATTTGATGTTCAATCCACTGTAATGTTTCCCATTCTTACAGCTTTTGTTTTTCAATGTTTGGTCAGCAAGAGGTTCCTCAAGGTAGCTCCTGAACCCTCTTGAGATCTTCATAGTCTCTGATGGCTTTCTTGCTGTTTGATATGGCAGGCTATTCTAAGGTCATTTTTTGCCTGAGATCAGTACTCATCCATTTCTTTAAGAAGCCCAGGTTTCTTTTATTTTTTATTTTCTGGCAGCTGGCTGGTATGGGGATCTGAACCCGTGACCCTGGAGTTACAAGGTTGTGCTCTAACCAGCTGAGCTAACTGGCCAGCCAAGCAGGTTTCTTTTAATGGGAAACAGTAACTCAGGACCATACTGTGGGTACTCTTGGGCTTTGTGTGTGTGTGTGTGTTTTTAAAGCTTAAATACTTTGTAAGTCTATAGTGGCATTTCCAAATCAAACTCAGGAATATAGGATTATTACCTGATCTCTTCTATATTACATGTCTACCTCGTTTCTTCCTCACTGAGATTCATATTTCTCATGATAGATATCCCATAATTACTCATTTGCTTTTTCTCACATTACATATTTTGCAGCCTCTGAATAGCAATACTAATATACCATCACCAAACATGATTACTGATAGCAATTTAAAATCTTTTTTTGGGCTAGCTGGTTAGCTCAGTTGGTTAGAGGGCAGCGTTATAAAACCAAGGTCACGGGGTTCAGATCCCAGCACCAGCCAGCTGCAAAAAAAAAAAAAAAAATCTTTTTGCGTATGCTAGCCTAATTTCCAATTTTTTACAGTTGTATTTATATCTAAATCATCATACCAGATGCCTAGTACATACTGTAATATCTCCCTTTCCTCCCTTATTTAGTCTCAGTTTTATGTTCTCCTCTAGTCTTTATGTTGATGTCTCTAGTCATTTTGGTTGTCTGAACCTTGTGCTCTCATAGATGGGAAAGATTCATGAGAGCAATAATTCCCGTTGGTAATAGCTCGTGTCCTTTATATTTGGAGATCGTGCTCACTTTGGCAGCACATATACTGAAATTGGGATGATATATTTGAAGGTCAGTTTTTCTAGATATAAAATCTTTAGCTCACATCTTTTACTGTCTTAAATGTATTACTTCATTTTCTTTATTAAAGACTGGCTTTGGAAAATCTTATGATCTTATTTTCTTTTCCCTGTATGTTATGGATTTTATTTGCCTCGATGCTCGAAAGGTGTTTTTACTTTTTTTTTTTTTTTCTTTTTGTCTTTTTTCGTGACTGGTAACAGGATCGCAACCCTCGGTGTCACGCCCATACCATGACCGGCAACGGGATCGCAACCCTCGGTGTCGCGCCCGCACCGTGCTCAACCAGTGAGCAGAACGGTCTCTATATGGGATCTGAACCCTCGGCGGGAGCGCGCTCCGAGTGCCGCACTCTACTGAGTGCGCCACTGGTCCGGCCCAAAAGGTGTTTTTACTTTTTTTTTTGTTCTTTTTTTCCTTTTTGTCTTTTTTTACTGACTTACCACGGGATCGCAACCCTCGGTGTCACGCCTATACCGGGGACCGGCAACGGGATCGCAACCCTTGGTGTTGCGCCTGCACTGCGCTCAGCCAGTGCGCGGGAACCGGTCTCCACATGGGATCTGAACCCTCGGCGGGAGCGCCACCGTGCTCCCAAGCGGTGCACTCTCCAGTGTGCCACCGGCCCGGCCCGTGTTTTTACTTTGATTGCTACCTAGATCCATCACCATTAGAGATGCCAAAATGATACTATCCTAATTCTATCATCCTTTTTGCATTTATTAACTGGATTCTAGATTCTAGGAAGATGGTGGTGCTGGCAGCAGCATAATATGGGTTTTTTCCAAATTCTCACATGAAAGAAAAGGAAACAACTAGACAAAAAAACAAACAGGAAAACAAACTTTAAAACCCAATCTCTGGATAACATGTACAGAAGTACTTAGTGACAAAGCATCACCTACACTCCAAGATCCATGTGGGTGAGACAAAGCACCACACCACAGATCTGTACATCGCCAGAGCCTGTGTAGGAGAGCACAGAAGGGGGGAAGCCATGGGGTGTCTGACAAGCCTGAGACAGAAGCCAAAAGGGCCAACATGTTCTCGCTGGGAAGTGGGATGGGCCCACTTGAGAGTAGGAAGTGAGGTGGGGAGAGGCTCTCCTCCAGTAGTGGGTGAGTCCAAGGGGCCACGGTAAAGCCTAGAGGAGATGGAGCAGACCAGCCCTCTTGAACTCTGGATACCAGCCAGGGTTCTCTTCCAGGATTGAGCCCCACACCGAGAAGTGAAACAAAAATTGAACAGAATAAGGAAAGCACCATGAAGGAAAAAGCAGGTTCAGATCAAAGTGGTAGAGGAAAATAGAAGCAGGAAATCTCAGCCGGGCGCCATATTGTTTTAATTATTTTAGTGTTGTCCGACAGAGCTTTCTGCTGTAATGGAAATGTCCTCATGTGTTGTACAGTACAGTAGCCACTAGTCACATACGACTTCTGAACATTTGAGGTTTGGCTAATGCAACTGAGGAACTGAGTTTTTAATTTTATGTGGGTATTGTACTGGATAGCCCAGCTTCATACAATAACAGAAGAGTGACTCTGCAAACTTAGGAAACCTATTTGAACTTGAGTTTTCTAAAGAAGCATGGTTCAGAGGAAAGTACACAGATCACTGGTGAAGAATTCTTGCCAGACCTGTCAAGTGTATAGGAAGAACAGGAAATAAGTGAACGTGTTAAATGGCACCACAGGGGTATGGTCAGCAAAATCCAGTATGTAGGAAATGGCAGGAGAAAGAGCAGGAGAGATCCTGTAGATTAAAAGAGACCAGAGTGACATGAACCAACTGTAATGTGTGGATCTTTGTAGATCCTTATTTGAGTAAACCAAGTGGGAAAAATCAATGGGAAAATATGAACATTAACTATTCTATATTAAATATTATCATTAATGTTTAGTGTGGTACTATATTTTATATGTATAAGAAAGTTTTCTCATTTTTTGGAAATTCATAGTGAAGTGCTTATGGATGAAAGGCTGTATCAGGGCTTTACTTTAACCCAGGAGAATCCTCTTAACTTTAACTTCAGAGAATCCTCTAAATAATATCATTAAAAATTATCAAACCAAATCCCACTGTTGGAGTCAAGGATGTTATTTTACTTTCAAATTACCAGGTTCCAGGGAGGTAATGTCCTTAGAGTATCGACCCAGCTCATTTTTCCAGGTATGCTTGCTCAGCAGCATGCTTATCAAAATCAGGAATGTAATGTTAATCATTAGTTATTTTGAGGCCTGAATATCTTGAGAATGTTTAATGTTTAGCCTGCGGTAGTGTTGTAGCTAGTTTTGTATATAGCTTGTTTTTTCAGGAGTAGAGTAACGTCTTCTGATAGCCTCTCTAGTCTGAAGTCATCAAAGTGTTACTTGGCACATGCTGCACTAATTACCCATAAGGGACACTTTGCCAGATACTCAGCTCACTCCTAGGTTGTGATTGGACCCTGACTAGTAGTCATAAATAGTTATTGCATAGAGCTTAAAACAGACTTGATCTTGGTGAAAGGTGAGTCAGTAGCCTTGAGAGACTACTGTATGCCATAGTTCTATGTTTTTTTGGGGGGGTGGGGGCAGCTGGCTTGTACTGGGATAGGAACCCTTGACCTTGATGTTACAATACCATGCTCTAACCAACTGAGTTAACAGGGCAGCCTGGGTTCTTATTCACAAAGATCCTTCAATGTCGTTTTAAATTCTTCCCCTGTGCACATGTTGACTAGTTCTTTAATCTTCTTATCTTTCTAGATTTGGAGCAGGTATGTTAAAAAATTGGGGGATTTTGCTAAGCCAGAGAATATTGACTTGGCCGTGCAGTGCCTGAATGAACTTGTAACCAATGCGCTGCACCACATCCCAGATGTTATCACCTACCTTTCAAGAATCAGAAACCAGAGTGTGTTTAACTTCTGTGCTATTCCACAGGTATGGCATGGGGCTCCCCTCAGTGTCTGTGGGAAGTTGGGTTATAGGGTATTTGGTGGTGGTGGTGGGGGTGCAGAGTGCAATTACTGCTGTGCGCAGGGACAGGACTCCTTAAGAAGATGACTTGAGTTTATCTTCTCCTGCTGGGGGCCAGCAGTGATTGGTGACCCTCCCCTTTGCCTCCTGGTCACTGTACTTAGCTCAGCCTCAGGTTAAGTCTGCTCCTTCCAGACCTTTCTTCTGTATTCACTCTTCCGTCAACTGTTTTAAATTAGCTAGATTCTTGTACTCACAGTTAAATGGAGGGCTTCAGCCTAGATTTACAGGGAGTGCTGGGTAAAACTTGGGTGAAGCTTTTTTTGTCAAAAAGTCTTCATTAACCACCTAATTATCGCTATTCTTTTCCTAGACTCCGGATAACAAAACCTGACCCTACAGACCTAGCCCCTTCCATAGTCTGGGAGCTTACATTTTTTAATTGCCTTTACCAATTATTTGTTAATAATTCAAATAAGTGAAGAAAGTCATAGGATTTAACTGATAGGGAAACTTGGTTTGATCTTGTTCTAATGACCGATCTTGAATCGCATCTGGAACTGAAGTCTGTATGTCTGTCTGAGGTTTCCACTTACTCTAGAAATAACTTACTTTGAGCCAGGGAAGCACCCTACCTTCTGTTGTTTCCCACCCATGTGATTTCTATATGTGCAATGACTATGTTCACTGCAGGGAAAATAGAAAAAACAATAGAAATTCTTTCCAGATATTATTTGGAAATATATATTTCAGATATGATAACTCATTGCTTCAACATGGAATATGTTGGATTTGTTTATGTTTGTTTTCTCCAAATAAAATGGAACCTTCATGGCTAAACTACAGAATCATTTAAGACTGCAAAGATTGCTTGATTCTGTGTGTTGTCAAGACAGGGAGGTGTAGGAAAAGTAAAAATGTTGGCATACTTTCTTCACAGGTATTTTTGTGTTTAGTTATATCGTAGCTCTTTGGCAATTTCTTCTTCAGAGGGTTTTCTTACCTTCCCATGATGATGATTGCTGGCAGCAGCACTTCTTACCTTCTCCTCCCTTCCCTTGTTGTCCATAGGTAATGGCCATTGCTACCTTGGCTGCCTGTTATAATAATCAGCAGGTGTTCAAAGGGGTAGTGAAGATTCGGAAAGGGCAAGCAGTAACCCTGATGATGGATGCCACCAATATGCCAGCTGTAAAAGCTATAGTATGCCAGTATATGGAAGAGGTACGTTTTTATTTAACTACCTAGGCAATTTGTAGCTACTTTTATGATTTAAATAATGTCACTATTTAAACATACCATGTTTGGATATTAGATGATTCTAACAAATCACTATACTATGGCCTAAAGAGACAGGAATTGGTATCCTTTATTAGGAAAAAAATACATGCACAAGGAGCTTAGCTACTTACTCAGTGCTGCACAGGACCCTGGGGAGAGGAGATAAATGAAGCCAGGCCATAGGGTGGAGCTCCTGAGCAGAGTCATATTTTGTGAGCAGGAAGAAGGTGTTCAAGGCCATGGAAGCTTCTTGTTTTCCAGGTGAGGAGTGTGAAGTTGAGGCTAGTGTATACCCATGGATTTCAGACCCCAGTCCACATGTACTGACTCCCAGTCCAGTACTTCCATTGCATCACAGGCCTCAGTTGAGAAACCACAGTAAGGAATTTAGGTGAAGGAAAACCACCAAGTTGTAATTATTTCTAAGTTTTCTTCTGCAAATCTCATTTCAAATGCCAAGAGCATCTTATAAAACAAAGCATACCTGCTCAAGCCAAATCTCAAACTATGGAAGGTATAATAATATGACTCTAATTCTAAGCCCTAGAGCAGTGCTTCTCAGATGGACATGATTTGCCTCCCTCCTTCCAGAGGACATTGGGCAATGTCTGGAGACACTTTTGATTGTCAAAACTGGCAGAGATGGGGTGCTACTGGTGTTCAGTGAGTAGAGGCCCCAAATGGTGCTGATCCTTAGGTGTGATCTTACTGAAGATTGAAATACTACAGAATTTTAAGAAAACATGAAAGAGTCTCATCATTCTTGCTTAGCTTGAACTCCCTTCCAGAAATAACTGCAGTCCGTAGTTGACATCCTTCCCGTCCACTTGTTACACATTTACAGGCATCAATTTGTTAATAGTGTTTTCATCTAAACAGAATTTTATTTCCTCTCATTTCTATTGCATGTTGCACATTCTCCTTGTATTTCCTCCTTGCCTTCTATCTGACAAGTTTTGGACGTGAGGCACTTACAGAAGGTCTAAGGGAAGACCAAATCTTTAAGAAAATAATCCTAAAATTCTTTCAGTGACTAGGTGAAAGTGTTCAGCCATTGACTGAAAATTGCTATTGATGAGACTGTCCAGTTTACCATATAGCCAGCACTTATTTTGAGCTTACTATGTGCTTGGCATAGCAATCAAATAGGTGAGTACTATAAATATCAAGGAAACTTGAGGCCCTAACCTCATGGCTAGAGTAATTTGGACACAGGTCTGTCTAACTTCAGAGCCTGTGCTGTTAACTATGATTCTAAAGGGTTCAATTAACTTTTCTAAATGGAGTTGTGCCATATGAGACGCTATTTCTTGATTTTATGTAAATTAAAAAACACATTTTGTAGTATGTAGTTCAGAGAATATTTTGGTTTTGCAGTTTTATTCTGATTTAGGAAACTTTTAAAAAAATTGTGTGGGCAGTTCCATTACTAAATTAAAATTCAGATTTTATTTGAGATTTTCTCAGCTATTGGAATTAAATCCTAGTTGTGATTCACAGTTTGAGGGCAAGGGTGGGCAGGCAGTGGGCTGAACTCTGTTTCTGTGAATACCCTGTTGTTAGAAGGGATTTCAGGCTAAGCAGGAATGATGAGACTCTTTCATGTTTTCTTAAAATTCTGTAGTATTTCAGTCTTCAGTAAGATCACACCTAAGGATCACAGCACCATGCGGGGCCTCTATTCATTGAATGCCAGTAGCACCCCACCTCTGCCAGTTTTGGCAATCAAAAGGTTGCAAAAGCCATGCCAATTGCTTTTGCAACCTGTCAGCAGAGCTTAGTGGCTGCCACAGAGATTGGCCAGCAAAGCTGAAGGTACTTTTTGGCCCTTTAAGAAAAAGTTTGCTGCCCTCTGATTTGGGGCATAAGTTATTTTGTTTAAAGTTACTCTAGTGAAACTCAAGGTATCTTGGAGAAAATGTTAATACTGAAGTTTATTTGATTCGGAATCTCAGAAGATTTCTAAGTCTCACACACTAGAATGTGCTGATGATTTTAATGTCAGCATTAAGGACATTTTGTAATGGTTTTAAATGAAAACTTTTTGTATGAAGTCCACAAATGGTCTGGCCTTTGCTGGCTTCCAGATATTAACACTGATCCTGTTTGTCCTCACTGACCAAGTCTATCCTTTGTGGTAAGAAAGACACATTTATTCTGTCCACTGTCTGTACTTTCTGATTGTAGCAAGAATGCATCTGGAAGGGACTTTAAAGAGGATATTCTCATGCACCTCTAATGTTTAAATGAAGAGTCAGAGTGAAGCCCAAGTCCTTCTGGACACTGCTCTGCAGGTCCCTCCTTTGTGCTGGGACAGCCTGAGATTCAAACCAGTCTGGACACCTGTCAGCTGGGGAGAAGATCAACCAACTGTTTTGAGATAGAAATAAATGTTCACACCAACAGCCAGAAGGTTTTATTCTCCTCTCTGACAAAGTAAATTCCTTGGCAAGGGCAATCTTTTTCATGTACCTGGAAGCTTCTTGTTTTTCATTCCTTGTGGTTAATCTAGGTCATTGCCAGGCTCTTCAAAACCTAGTTTCCTTGCTGACTGAGTGTGGTCCTCGGGCCAGCAGCATCCGCATCAGCCTGTTAGAATCTCAGGACTGCTCAAACCTATGGAATCAGAATCTACCTTTTTTAAAATGACATTTTTGCTTTAATGGGAGTTTAGATGTTCATATGTGAGACTTAAGTGATTATCAACTAGTTCAGTATTCTGCTGTTTTAAGTGGAACTGCTGAGACCTAGAAGTGCCACTTGGACTCAGAGAGGAGCTGCTTTAGAGCAACATAACATGCACAGGAGTTCAGCTCAATAAACGTTTATAGTGGCTTTGTGTCATTTAATCATCAAGTACTCATTTGTCTTCGACTATATGCCAGGGTTTAGATGAAAAACCTGCCATAGCCTGCTTTTGAGAAGCATATGAAATTCCTTAAGGCTGGTAAGTCCATGAAAAAACTGAATAATTTTATGATTTACCAGGGAATTAAGACCTGAAGTTTGTAAATACCTACTCTGTGCCTTGAGGTAAATGGACAGTGGGGTGGGGTGTAACAGGGCCCTGCTACAGTGGTCACTTTGGCCTTAGTGGCCCCCTGGTAGGTATGTCCACCTCTCAATCTGTTTGTAGCTTCTGATGGTTGTGCTAGCTTGCTTATGTGTTGGAACTGATCATCAAAGGGACCCAAAAGTTCTGCCATTAATTGTGTTACCAGGGACTGGTCACAACCATTGTCCCTCCCATCTGTTCACCTTATCTCACGGGAGGGCACGTTAAAGTGCTCTGGAGTTCTCCAAGAGGTTTTTATTTTTTTGTTGTTTATTGTGCTTATTTGGGTGCCACTGATTCCAAATAAACCTTTTTCCCAAGAGGAGACAAGGTTGTTATGGTTATACATGAAATGCAACAGGATAACAAAGTAGAAGTAGATGAGAAAATAAATTAAAAACATAAGGTTAGGAGACACAAAATAGACCCAGGAATGAGGCTGATACATGAATTTATAATGTGATGCTTATGGCATCATCTGATGTTTGTATGATGCTTGTGCAGTTGCTCCAAGAGGGCAGATCTTCTGTATTTTCAAATAGTGATATGAAGTTTGAGGTGTCTTTCAAATGTTTTCATTTAGCTAGAATTAGGTTAGTAAGGTTCTGTTTAACAAGTAGGTTGTAGCCTTAAGTTTTTGTTTTTGGGTTTTTTTTAAACTTAAACAAAAAGGAATTTATTAAATGTGGTGGGGTGGGTTGTTGTGGGAACTTGCAGAATGGAAGAAGTCTTAAAAAGTCAGGCCCCTGGGCTGGCTGGTTAGTTCAGTTGGTCAGAGTGCAGTATTGTAACATGGAGGTCTGAGGGTTCAGATCCCCACACTGGTCAGCCACCAAAAAAAAAAAAAAAAATCTTTTTCATTAACTTTAGCTCAAAGTAAGGCTTTATGTTTCCATTCTGAGACTTAAATGTACTAACTCTAAATTTCTCTTGCCCTTTGCAAATCATAGTTTTCTCATTTAAAGCTAGATTTGTTTTTTGCTAGAGAAAATGTTGCTTCCCTCATGACACGATGTTTTCTGTGAAAAATCTACCTGGGAATTTTGCTTTATTCTTTGGTTTGGCTTTACAGATATGCAGCTGTCCTGCTCACATGGACTATCTCATGTAACAACACTTTAATCCTAATAGCTTTTGAGGTTACAGTTACAAATGAAGTTCAGAGAAGTCAAGTCATTTGCCCAAAGTCCAACATATACTAAATATTAGAACTAGTACTTGAATTTTGGTCTTGTGACAGAATCTTTTACCGAGATCCCCAGGTGATCCCCATGGGCAGAAAGCTTGAAAAGCAACACTGTGCAGTGCTGCCCCCTCCACAAGGCTCTTAGCCACACGGGGAAGTGAATGGTCACACGCGTGAACGCCCCCACTTGAGTCCTGTGTGCAGGCTTGGCCCTCCACCTAGGGCTTCTGGTCCTTTCTGTCATGTCCTCAAGATCCTCCACCTTGTCCTCTCACTGGGCCATTCCTCTCAGTTTGCACAAGAGACGTGCTCAGGTCACTCACTTCAGAAGATGAGCACATCGTGACTTCCTCACCTTTATCTTTCCTTCATGTTAAGCTCTCAGAAGAAAGATGTGCTTACTGTTATTTAGTCCCATTTTCTTCTCAACCCACTTTATTCTAGCTTTTGGTTCTTTTTTTTTTTTTTTTTTTTTTTTTTTTTTTCAGGTGGCTGGCAGGTACATGTGTCAAACCCAGCCAGCCCTGTTCCTGTCTTGTCATTACGATTTTTTCTTACTGAAGTTATTTGATGATGACCTCCTAACTTACAAGTATAACCAGTTTTTGTTTTTAATCTTCCTTGATTCCACAGTGACATTTGAACCCCTGGCCTCTCGTGGCTTCTGTGGCACTGTTGTCTCCTGCTTGACATCTTCCCTCTCTGTCTGCCCCCTTGTCTTTCTGGCTCCTTGTCTTCCATCTGCTTCTTAAATGCTGGTATTTCCTTGAGCTCTGTCTTGATTTGCATTTTTTCTTACTACACAGATACCTCCCGGGTGCTCTTGTCTGTGGCTGTGGCTTTTTCCTCTACTCTGTGCACATCACTTCTGTCTCCAGCTCAGACCTTGGCCACAATCTCATTATTATTATTATTTTGGTTAATGACATTGCCATCCACCTAATCATGGAATCTAGATATCTGCAGACACCCTAGAGTCCTCCTGTATTTATTCTCCCAAGCCCTATTTATAGGCAGCCCCATGTCCTGCCTCTTTTACTTTTATGCTTTCATACCCATCAAAACTGTGTGCATTACCCTCTGACCCAGCAGTTCTAGGACTCTGTCCTACAGAAATAACCAGAAAATGAGCAAGGATGTTTACTGTAGCCTTTCGTCTTCAACCCTTATAGGTAGGGAATTAAATTATAATACATTCACCCACAGCAGCTCATGCTGAAAAAAAGAATGTCATCATTTTGTAGGTTTTGGCATTGAAAATATCTGTAAAAAACTGTGAGTGAAAAAAGTCAAATTACAGAAAAGTGTTATCTATTTTAAAAATTGTGTATGTGTATAATTCTGTGTACACAGTTTAGACTTACATATATTTATGCATGATTCTAGATAATGCATTCCTACATATGACATGTAACACATTTACGTATATTGGCACAGCAAAAGGTCTAAAAGTAACTACACCAGCCTGTGGCTGAGGGGTAGTCTGAGATTTTTTTACTTTATATTTGTATTGCTTGTTTAGAAGCAGAATTACATCATTTAATATATTTTTTAAGAAATTGTAGTTTCATCCCCCACCTGTTTTTCTCTGTGTAGCTGTATTTTGTAGCACAATACTAGACATTAGCTATCACTAGCATTTTCCTGTAGGCACATTCTTTTATTTCCTTGATGTCTTAAATTCTGGCTGTGTGTTTTGGGGAAGAGGGTGGGAAGAATATAAGATAAGTTTGTGGGGAAAAAAAATTCATCATGTAATGACACTGGGATAAAACATTTTATTTAAAAAATGCCTGCTCTGTCCTCTCCACCCCTTTTGCCTCAGTTCTGGCTCAGGTCACTTCCCACACTACTGGCTTGTTGGTGTGATTCAGTAGACATTCACTGAGGGCCTGCTGTGTGCCGGGCTGAGGTAAGAAGGTGGATGAGACACGTGCAGTCTGGTCAGGGAGACAGTTGCAAACTGGCCGTTCCGATGTGAGCGATACAGGGAAAGTCTGTCCAGGGGTGGCTCTTGGCCCAGCCTGGAGGTTCAGGCGGGTTTTCTAAAAGGCATAACACCTAAGTTCAGACTTGGAAGATGGCTAAGAGTTAGTCAGGTGAGGGAATGTGAGAGGAGCATTCCAGAGAGAGGGAAGGGATGAGGGAAGAAAAGAGCAGGAGCACGCCAGGGAGCCACGCGTGCACAGCAGCACAGGAGCTGTTACTGGAGTGCGAGGCAGGTGGTGGGTGGCACACTGGGCCATATCCCAGGCGGCCTCGCATTCCACATTTAGGCACTCAGGTGATTGGGAGTAGTGATGAAAGCTGCTGAGATGACAGTGTGGAGAATGGGCAAGGGGATCCGGGGCTCAAGCTCCGAGGCAGGAACTCACTTTGGAGGCTGGTATGGCTCGGATGAGAGGCATTAAGGGACTAACCTCGGGCAGTAATTGTAGGGGTGTAGAAGACGAGGTGGATTCTGCAAACATTTCAGAGGCTTATGGAGGGAAAGGGAGGTGTACAGAGTGCACTCCAGGATGGCTCTTAGGTCTCCCTGCATCTGCCCAGTGTCCCTTGTCTGGCTGTGGCCTGTGCCATGTTTGATTTTGTTTTCCTAAGCCACTTTTGCCCAGTCTTCCACTATCACTTTCCTTCTCCACGTTATTCTAGTCAGCCTAACTGAACTATGCCAGTGTTTACTGGGCACCTGCTGTGTGCCTGGCACTGCACAGTGTTGGGGATATGAAACTCAACATGGCACACCTGCTGCTCTCAAGCTTCCAGGTTGTTCCCCAGGGGCGGCGTGTGTGCCCGTGCCTCTGGCTTGCCCAAGAGGGGCTTTGTGATTAGACAGGCCTGGGTTGACATTTCTGCCTCATCAGTGGAGTGACGTTGCACTAGTTACTTCCATGTTCTGTGCGCCTTGGTTTCCTCATCGGTAAGATAGGCATAAAACACCTGCCTGTTGAGAGTTACTATAAGAAGTAATCACAGAAGATGTTTATAAAGTACCTAGTACTCAGTATATAGCACTTACCAGTTTTCCCTCTTTCTTTAACAGATTTATCATAGAATCCCCAGCTCAGACCCATCTTCTAGTAAAACAAAACAGATCATCTCCACTATCAGGACGCAGAATCTTCCCAGCGGCCAGGTGGTCTCCCGAAGCCACTACTCCCCTATTTATCTGTCATTTGTCATGCTCTTGGCTGCCCTGAGCTGGCAGTATCTGAGTACCCTGTCCCAGGTCACAGAAGACTATGTTAAAACCGGAGAACACTGATTTGGAGTTTGTTCAGAAGCTAAAGTTCATCACGAAATGGATTTACCTCTTCTTCAATGGTGGATGTTGGCTTCCTTGTATTTTTTCCTACTTTAATCCCTAAAAGAACTCTGTGTGGCTTGGACCTTTAGAAACTGAAGTGCAGTCGAGAATAGAAAACTGAAAGGAAAGGGGCACCTTGCCCTCAGCAGCCTTGTCTTGGGGTGGCAGTCACTGCCACTTCTGTGGCTGATGGCAGAGCCCTCATGGCTGCATACAGGACTGTCGCAAGATCTCACGTAGTATGAATCCTGGCTAGCATTATAAGTAAATGTATGTAATTTGAAGTAACTTTTGAATACCTATCATAGAAAATGAAGTGAACAATTTTTCTGTCTGGTTCCTGTTTTTCTCATTTGTTTTCTTTAATTGGTATGAATGGATGTTTATAATTCTAGGTAATGTTACCGTGTTCCCTAAGAATACAAATTTGTCTTCTGCACATGAAGGCTGAGAATAAAATTCTGGATGTTCTGGGATTACTTTCTCATTTAAAGGAGTTTAGCTTTCAGAGAGAAGCTGGATTGCCTTTAGCCCCATTTTAGAAGATGGCCTCCAGTAAAGGCTGACATTTTTGAGAAGGTTTTTATAACAAAAGATTTAATGTCTGCGTTTGTTAGGTGCAGTTCACTTGAAAGCCACGACTGTGAGAAAGGTGGAGATTAAGAATGGAGGTATTGATTGAAGGGCGAGTGGTCGTCTGCCACCACCCTGAAGCCAGCAGGAGACAGTACCAGGAGGGCGCAGCTGGCTGGCTGGCCCCATGGGACTGAGTGAGCGCTGGCAGGTGAGCTGTTGTTAGCCTGTCACCATGTACACTCTGCTGTGCGTTTATTCTCTTAGCTGTACTCAGGAATTTTAAAGTTTTTCCCCCAGCTTTCTTCTTTTTTAAAATTACCAGCTTACACATTCAAGAAAGGCAAAAAGATGTACTTGGTGTAATTCTCCTACTATGGTTGTTCCTCCTTCCTCTGCCCCAGCAGCGCTGGGGTTCATGATATACTCTCACCAAGAGTGGCTGAGAGTCTCAGCGTGGGCAAGGGAGGTGGCCCTGCACTGGCAGCAGTTTTGGAAAAGGCTGTTGGGTTGAGAATCAGTGTTGTAGGACACTGATTTACTTTCTGGAAGCCATTAATATTCTAGGTATATATAGTATATAGTCTGCAATGCAGTCCATTACACAATGGTAACCTAATCATTGGATTTAGGTTTTCTTCCAGCTGTAATGTTGGGTTTGTACTGGTACACACACAAACTGATTTTCCTCCTGTGACCAAGGATACCACCTGAGACAAAGGATTTAGTTTGGGTCCATGGAGACTTCAGTTAATTAGTTCATTTGAGACTGAGCCCTGCATGAACTTGTCACCATGCTGAAGCCAGTCAAGGTAACTTGCCACATAGAGAAGAGCTAGCTATAAGCCAGACTCAACTGTATTTTCCAAGTAATCTAAGCACCAAACTTGGTTTGTATGTTGATACAAATTCATATGTTGAAATCTAAGACGTATCTGGGTGCATGTAAGACAGCACAACATGGTGGAAAGAGCTTGGTGTCCGGTCCACTGGTAGAACCTTCTCTCCTGACCTCTTCATTACTTGTGGGACTTACGAGCTGTGTGGCCAAGGTGGTCTCTTAGGTCCTTCCCAGCTCTAAAGCTATGTAATTTTTTCTCACTGACTTGAACAAAGGTCTTAGCTCTCATCCTGTTACGAAGCTCTTTGAAAGATGGTTTTCCCTCGAAATATCTTCTCTACTAATGTTGCCAGGTAAAATATGAGATGCCCAGTTAAACTTGAATTTCAGATAAACCATTTTATTTTTTAGTGTAGTACACCCCAAATATTGCACAGAATATATTTATGCTAAAAAATTACTTATTTGAAATTCAAATTTAATTGGGCATCCTCTGTCTTCATAGAGGTTGCTAAATCTGGCAACTCTACCCTCTACTCCCCCACTTTTAATGTAATTATAGCATCCCTGGCACAGTCTATCTGGTTCCTACTTCAAGTGGAGTATTTTTCTTCAGAGAAGCATCTGACACATCTGACTCTAGGGCTTTAAAATAAATATTTGCAACAGTTGGGAGCAAGAGCCCAATCTCCACATTTTGGGAGCTTCTGGAGATCTGCTTAAGACCTGTGCTGCCCTCATCCCTCTGGGTAAGAGCCTGGAACCGCTACCTGCAGGCCCGGTTCTTTCACCTACTGAGTCGTTTCCCAGGGGCTTGTAGCGTGGAGGAGGCAGGAGGGTATCGAGGCACCTGTTTTACAGCAGTGCCAAGGCTGCAGTTCTCAAACTACCAGATCAGGTCAGGGCCTTTGCCTTCCTAACCAGTTAGCAGGGGATAGGGTGCTGCCCATCAGGACAAACTTTAATGTGCCCAGGAAGCACCTGGGGTCCTGTTAAAATGCAAACGCTGCCCGGCCTGGACTTCTTTGAGGAGCAAGGCTCTCAGGGTGTGGCTCCCTGAGGCACACTGAAAGGGTGGAAAGGGCTGAACTACCTTTGCTCAAACTCCTAACCCTGCTCCAGGCAAAGAATGAAAAGGCATCGTCGCTTCTGTCTGTCTTTGAACGAGAGGTACCTGAGGAAAACCACTGGACCACTTGCTACATCGAGCTAAGGTAACAAGGTAGGGACCCCAGGGGATCTGAGTCTCCTCAAACCTGAGTGTGGAGACACCCCACAATTCACCCCATCACTTAGCACAACTCAGCTGGCTCCAGGGGTAGGGACGTGATAGAGGTGCTAGGCAGTGGGGGGTTACTAAACCCCTTGTGAGCGGGTAGAACTGTGTCAGAACCCTACTGAGGTTATGAAGCATTCTAGTTGAGACTGTAAGGACAGAGTGATGATGGGTTGGTGGCTTCGGTAACCCTTGTTAAGCGTTTCATAAGTGTGATGATGAGTATCATAAACTTCCTACAGTGTTCCCCAGGTTTTTAGTGCTTATGTACTACAAGCTTCTGATCCCTGACGTGAATCACGCTGGACGCCATGCCAAATGTCAGATGCCTGTGGAAAGAGGCACATCTTTCGTTCACTCGGGGAAGGGGAGCAGCAGAAGCACCTCGGTGGGCAGCGGAACAGGTGCTGCCAGCTCTTCTAGTCGCTCCACTCCCTCCAGAACTGGTGTCCTCGGCTACTTATGGTTCTTAACTAGGGCCATGCAAAAGAATAGTTCTGCACCAACATCTGAGGGCACCCAGGGAAATGTGGTCCTCCAATAAGCAGGATGTCACCCTGGCTGAGTGAGAACACACACCATGCCTGTATCTGTAAGCAGAATCGTCAGACAGGCTGCTGCTGGTGTGGGTTGATAAAAATGGAACACAGCTATGTTTGTAGCTCTTTCAGCAGGGGCGAGCTCACCAGGGCTTGGGGCACAGTTCCAGGGAATGGATATACTGAGAAAGTTGATGAGAATGAGGGGAGAAGCGGATGCCATGGTTTGAAAATACGGCTAGGGCAGTGAGAAGTGAAAGTGGGGGTGCGAGAGTTGCCAGGGCACACAAATCCAGGACAGGACAGTTGACAGCCACAAGTCCACATGCAAGGAAAAGGAATCTCTGAGGTCCCATCACTTCATAGGCTTACATGGAAGGAGAATCCTTTTATTGGCACAGTCATTCCTTGTTAAATTGACAGGGTAAAGCAGTGATTTTTAAAAAACAGTAAAAGCTGGCTTCTCCCAAACTGGTTTCACTGTGGTAGCAGAAGTCGGTAGGTCAGCTGGCCACTTGTGACCACTCTATCTTGTTGTAAGCCACACCATGGAGAGAGAACCCGTAAACTAGCAAAGCTTGTCCAACGATTAGACCTGTTCATTCACATGATCAGCTGAGGTGCACAAAACATCAACTAATATTAAAAAGAATCATGCCAAGGACAAGACCAGAGAGGGTTTGAACACTGCGAAGCTCGACAGGTGCAGGTCCTGGGGGACACGGCTCTTTCCAGAGGCTGCCACACCATCTCTCCTCTGAATCCGTAGCAAACCTAGAAAGCTGCTCTCCTGGAGGCACTGCCGAAAGGTGGGAATTCACATTCTCCTAGCAGCTCCTCTCTCCACTCCCTTGGAAACACACAGATTGGGAGGGTGGGATGGGGGGGTCGCAGCAAGAGCTGGCAGCAGGCAGGACATACAGTGCTGGTCTGCAGGGAGGAGCCCCACTGCTCTCAGTGGTGGCATACCTGGTCTAGCTGCATGTGGCCAGCAGTCCACAGAACAAGCTGGAAGGTAGCTAGGACTTGGGTGCATCTCCTTGGAAGACGGTAGATGGTTTGGTCCAGCCAATCCTTCAGGCCCTGCCTAAAACCTGTATCTCATGTGAACTGAAAGAATAAAAGACATTCCTACCCCATCTCATCCCCAGTCCAACTGGCTACACTTAGGGAAAAACTCCTCCATGACGCCCAACGGGCCCACAGCAAGTTAGATCTTTTCCCAGTACTGCTCAGTGCGTGGAATTCCAGCCACAATTTCTGATTCGATTCCACAGTGATCCTGTCCTCTGAGGATTTTAAAAAAGCCTGAGGGAAAAAAAGTAGGATGCTTTTAAAGTGTGTCTTGCATTCTGACCCATGTCAGCATATTCAGACTCATCCCTAAAGACCTGGGAGTAGGCCCCCAGGCCCAGCGCCAGGCGGCTCCACAGTGCCCCGCGGCTTCTCCTGCTGGCTCAGCAGCCCAGCCCTCAGCACCATGAGGCCTCCCAGGCGGCTGCATGGACGCCACGTTGCCCTTCGTGGCATTGCAGCTGCTGGCATGGAAAATGTGGCAGACACGTGCTATTCGAAGCTGTGTCCTGGTCCACACCACCCTCCCCCAGGCTCGGAGACGGCACTTGGAGCAACAGGAAACCCCAGCATACAGCACCTGGGCATGCAGGGGGCCACTGCCGAGCCTCGGGCCTAGGGTTTGGAACTGGGCAGTAGGTGGAGCAGAGAAGGCTAAGATGACCACATGTTCTGGCCACGGCTCCCTACTCTTGGTGGTAAGGGGCTGCCACTCACCATTGTCACCCCAGTCAGTGTTCCAGGAGTTGGCCACCAGCCAGTAGGGGTTGCCATTCTCCACTCCCCAGCCCAGGATGCGGATAGCATGGCCGCCTATCATGTCTCCAGTGACGTGCTGGTACACTCCTGCAGGAGGAAAGCTGGCTCAGACGAGACCAGGCCATGGCCATCCCCATGGCACCCCAGCTCAGCTGGCCAGTCCAGTCAGGAGAAACAGGCTTCGGAGGTCCCTCAACATTGGGGAACCACTTAAATATTTATTTTGAAACCCAACACACTCACATGTGTTGAATAAATACTAAAATGGAGTCCAACAAAATGTGCTTGTTGGTTGGCCTTAAAAATAAAACTTCTAATAAATTCTAGTTTATGAAACAAATTTAATGCTAAATGACCAATTATGTTTTATGCCAAAAGGGTCACATGGCTTAAAGAGTTTTAAAGCTGCGGCTC